CAACCCCTATGATTCTATGATTCTAAATGCAAAGATAGGTAGATGGGTGGGTAGAAGAGACTAGCCTATAGGTAAAATTTCCCTCTACAAGTTTGGAGTAAATACTCATAATGCATCAGCATTCCTCAGCAGGTGATAATTGAGTTTGGGGGAGATTCACTCACACTGGTCTTCCATCCACTGATCCTGAGACGTGTCTCAGCTCAGAGGAGATGCTGGTCACAACCCAGTGCAATCCAGGAGAGCACAAAGGGTCTCACTTAGGATTGCTATTTATCCAGTCCAAGATAACTGACTTTTATCAAGTAGTTTTCTATTTCAGCTCACTCAGATGATATAATATTCTGGTACTTTCCACCAGTTATGTATGCCCAGAACCTGCTAGGTTATAGGGTCCTGGTATCCCTCACTTCAAACCACGACCCAAGTACATGGGTACTGGGCTGTCAGGAGGTCTATCGGTTGTTGTTACCATTCCCAGTTGACACAGGGAGCAGGAGACAGGTGTCATGAAAAGACACCTTAATGCTCTGGTCCACTGCTTACAGTCAAGGCTGTCAGGAGGTAATAGGTGGTTGTTACTGTCCCCAAAGACTAAAGGAAACAGGAGCCAGGTGTGCTAAGCAGGTGCCTCAACATTCTGGTGTGCTGCCTTTCACAATCCATACCTGACTTTCCAGTGGATTGTTGTGTGGCCCAGGGAGAGGGAGTCACATCAAGTACTGAGTGGCCCAAGGGTGGGGGAGAATCGTACCACCACCACATGTCCCAGCAGCTGCCTGAAGCAAACCCATGTTTGAGCCCATCTGAATGTTTCCACTCGAGTAGGAGATGCTGCTTTGCTGGCTCTGATGGCTTTGTGACTATCCAGAGCTTTCACAGTTAAATCCCAGCCTTCCTGACAGTAACAGTGAACTCCAGCAGGACCCGAGATGGCCACTGCACCAAAAGAAGCAGAAAATGCAATTGGATTAGAGGAAATCCACACAGAGAAACAAGAACCCCCAAGAGGTGAGTTTGTACTGACAGGACTAGAAATTTGGGTCCTTGTTTAGCCAGGGTAGAAAGAGAGTCCCCAGTCCTGGCACTCCCACTGCCTAAACCTCAGTACATAGAGCCACAAGTATCAGCTCCATACTTCTCCTCCTTCATCATAGCTACCAAATTGGTGGCTGCTACTTATGGCAGAGGGAAGAGCTGGCTGGCTCTGTTTTTTTCCTCAGGTCTTCCCTTTGTCTAAACATTTTATTATACCTGTAACTAAAGAATTCTTTCATTTTGGTTAATTTATTTTTGAAAAGAAAAAAATATTTTATTTCAAAAGCATTTTAAAGTGAAATAAAATCTAGAAAAGCATAACAGAAAAGTTCTGCATCTGGAAAATAAAAAAAAAAAAAAAAAGTGTGCTCTCCTGGAATTCTGAAGTGGGTTCTGTTCCATTTCAGAGGTAATGTTAATGGGTTTGAGATTACTTATTTGGGAGATAAATGATCTGACAGAAAAATTTATGCAGCTATGTCTTTACCTAAGAGCTTAGAAGTACATATACACTGAAACCTTTCTGCCAGGTCTGTTTATAAAGCCATTGCATCTCTGATCTTGAGATGCTTTGTTTGCTCCTGAAATGGGTGAGAAAGTCAGGAATAATGGCTGAATAAAGGCGAAACTGAGCCCAGAGTCCCTGGCTGTGCTCATTTTGGAGGGCTCAGGCCTGAGGCAGCCCCCAGCTCACACCACTGTGCTGGGAGTGGACCTGTACCCCTGGGGTGCAGAGGGGCTGAGCCTCATGGCAGTTTGGGTGGGGAAGAGAGTAGACCCTTAACCTGAAACCCAGCCATGGGTTCTGAAGCAGCTGGAGTAACTCATTACAAGGCTGTCCTTCCCCCATGCCCAGCCTACCCTCTTCCCTGCTGGCTGCTGTTTCAGCAGCCCCATGATGTGCTCAGCCACCAGCATGTCCAGTGGCTGGTCAGTGGACACACAACTGGTAGGTGTTTGCAGCCTTTTTCCTGGTGTGGTCTCACAGTGGCACGAAAAATGTTGACATTTCATAAAGAGAAGGTACAATTTGACTGCTAATTGGGTTTTTGCCTCTTGTCTTTCTTTCCCTTTGATGTTCAGGGCAGAAGACATTTACAGTGGAAGAAGCTGTGGAAACTATTGGTTTTGGGAGGTTTCACATCATGCTTTTCCTGATCATGGGCAGCACTGGAGTAAGTGTCTGCAGCCATCTGCACTGGCCTGAAGAAACACTTTTCTCATTTGCCTTGTTATTGGGAAATAACAACCATAAGCACCACAGGCACACATTGCAGCACATCTTTTTTTTTTTTTCCACACATACCTTCTCAAGCAAAATATCTGCTGTTGGCATTTTTGGCCAAAACCAATATTGGCTACAACTGATATCAGATCTATTTGCAAAGCTGAGGAGGTTGGCCCGGAGCACCAAGGCCTGGCCTCTGCCCTGGAGCACTGTCCTGTCAAGCAGCACTGATGGGGCATGTCTTCAATAGTGCCTGAAGGTTAGGGTCAGTCTCCTGATTGTGTTTTTCACCTTGTCCCCAAGGCACCCAAGCCCTGTACAACCTGGTATGGGAGGACTACCCTCCTGTTACCCTTGGCTAAAAATCTCCTAACTGGCAGGATCTTGTGTTAATGGTGTATCTGGTTTGGGAACTGGGGCAAAAGCCTGAGCCCAGGCTGGGGTAAAGACGAGACGGGAACATATCCACAAGGATCACTACAGCTGAAGTGTAGAAGCCTCTAGCAATATGTAAATGATAGACTTATTTCTTAACTGAAGCCAGCTGCTGGGGCAAGCAGCCAGTGGAGCAATAAAGTTTTTAATCCAAAACAGTTTTAAGAGGTTATCCTTGTGTTAGATGCCCAAATTCACAGCAGGGTGCCTAACCAAGCAGCTTGGTTTCCAGAGATACTTGGAAAACCTTCCACTAGCACATCTGGTTAAGAGTCTCCTCTGCAAAGGATTAGTCTTTGCAGCCTTCCTAGATAAGCACTTTACCTAGATATCTGCTGTCTAGGTGCACCTTCCTCCCTACCTCTCCCTGTTTCCAAGCACGCACGTCTTCTATATCAGGCACAGGGCTCAGACAACTAAGGAGGCACCATGGCTTCACAGAGCTGTTCTGACATGGTGGAACTGCCATGGCTGCAGGCTTGGTAGGACTGAAGGACTTTCCCCTGTGGACTCCCTGTGTCTTCTCTTCTTGCTAATGTGCATGCTTGTTCCCAAAGGTGGCTGAAGCCATGGAGATCATGCTAATAGCTGTTGTGTCCCCTCTCATTCGATGCGAGTGGCAGCTTCAAGACTGGCAGGTGGCTTTAGTGACAACGGTGAGTGACTTGTGTTCCCGCCATGCAGGTCATCCACAGTGTGGTCATTGTCATGGGCACCACTATGAGCTTTGTAAAGTACATTTCCCAATGGACCAAATAACTTCCTAGGGCCTCCTCTTGGGAACAGTACCGCAACTGTAGAAAACCAGAAAGTGAGCTGACATGAGCACACACCTGTGTCTAGAACTGTAATGCCAAAGCAAGTCCCCACTTCCACATTCTTATTTTGAAGTCCTTGCCAGCTTTGTGGGTTGAAGCAGCAAGTGTCTATATGGAAGAAGTCAACCCCTGAAAGCCACCCTGCTCATAGATCTGGGCACTGCAGTTCATCCTGCTGCTCCAAAAGCATTCAACTCACCCACAGTTCAAAGAGCAGAGCTTCCCAGTGCTGCTGGTAGTGGGCCCTCCACAGCTATTTCGCTTCCCCTAGATGGTGTTTTTTGGCTACATGGTCTTCAGCATTGTGCTCGGGCTCCTGGCTGACAGGTACGGACGCTGGAAGGTGAGTGCATGCCAGAGGCTATGTGTCCTTTTCCTTATCCCCACAGGAGCCATGAACCTGGCTAAGCCCATGGTTTGATAGCCCTAATTTTTCCCTTTTTGCAGATTCTGCTGCTTTCATTCCTCTGGGCATCTTATTTCTCCCTGCTGACCTCATTTGCCCCATCCTATGCCTGGTTTGTGTTCCTGCGGGGCATGGTAGGAGGTGGCGTGTCAGGCCACGCGCAAGGGTAAGGCTGTGCCTCGTGCCTTGTGGCATGGGCAGCATTGAGACTGCCTTCACAGGGAGGTTAGTGCAGGAACCCGTGGACCCACGGGGACTGAGTTCCCAAGTGCACAGCAAGAAAGATCCTTTGCCTCATTTTGGCTGACCCTGGCAGAGCGTCCGGTTCTCCTTGTGCTGAGCCTGATAAGCCATGGCCACGCCGTGACCTGGAGGAGATGACAAGGAGGGGGCCACCACAGGGGCTGGAAGTGGAAAGGAGAGCAATTTCCCACGTTGCCCTAACACAAAATGCTGTTCTGTAATTTCACTGAATCCCAGTCAATTGACCTAAACTGCAGTTCCCCAGGACTCTCGAGCCCTGGAACAGAAGGGGCATCTGGTTTATGTTAAGCCAGTGACAGAGGGATTATTAAGCACATATATTATAAAAACAATTAGACAGGTAACAGATGAGCAAAGTCTGCTTTCTTGTATAAAAGTCACAACAATTCTGCTTAAGTGGCAAATTCTTGGACTGATGTAAAACATTCCCACCTAAATGAAACTTCTTGCCCTGTTGGGGCGGAAAGGGGGATGTGGAGGAGAGGAGAAACTCACACTATTACCGACTTCTTCACTAGGAGCTTGGCAAAATAGTTAATTTATTTCTTTGAACTCTCTTAGGGAAACATGCAACATTTCAGCATCTTCCATTGTTCCTTGAAGCCTGGTTGCTGCCCATGCAGAAAATCCCCAAACCAATTGTTTTGACCCAAGGGTCCCTTGCTGAAGTGAGGAACAGGAGGGAGATAGGTGCTATTGACTGAAGGTACCTTGTGCCTAGGTCATGCACCCACAGAGCTCACGGTGCTGACTCTCTTGCAGAACGGCCCATGTTCCCAGGCCATGAAAGCTGATAATAAGCCTAATTGGGGTGAAGAGAAATTGCACAGTTTTATAAAACTCTTCAATAGCTAAGATAGAAGGAACTGTTTCTATTTTACAGTTGCTCCCCACTCCCTCTCTTTCCAGCCAAGGAAGCACAGTTCACACCTGTGAGCTTGAGAGATGCCAGTGCCAGGCCCTTCCCCAAGGGCTACCCAACCATTTGATAAAAAATGGAACTGAGTGTTTTATTTATCAAATGATAAAAAAATAGTTTACTAAAAATTGTTCCTTTCCACATTGTTGTCTATGCCTGTGCTGGCACCTCAATCACCGCACAGGACTTTCTTGTAGGTTTTCTGATGCACAGACCGCAGTGTTTACCTGCCTGTCTCATACAACCGTACAACCATTGCATGGAGAGGATTTATGTCACGCATCTCCTTTGCATGAATTTGGTGCCTGCCCACGTGGAAAGCATATTGAGCAGGGATCCACCATCTCTGGGTGCTCAGTGGTGGAAGAGGGATGTTACTCTGTCTACAGGCAGCAACCTTCAGCACTGAGCTGAGCTGCTACTTGATTAGTGTAGCAATTCTCATTGTTGATGTATTTCTGCCTTTTTTTTTTTTTTCCCCTTTTTTTTACTAGGCTTATCATAAAAACAGAATTTTTACCCACCAAATACCGAGGATACATGCTGCCCCTATCTCAGGTAAGAGTGAGCATGTTGCTGTTGCTGCTAAGCTCGAGTTCTGGGAGATTTGTCCCACTGCTGTTTGGTAGCTGGATCTCCAGCACATCAGCCTTTCTCCCAGACTATTGACACTCGTGCCTGCTGCCTCCTGCGCCATGGACTGTGGTGTCTGAATTATTAAAGATGTACATAGGCAGCTGCCTGCAGAAGACAGGAAATTCCTTTTCAAATAATGGGATGCTCCAAACAGTGCATGGAGACCGAGTGACAGCTAATATCTAGCCTCTCAATTGCCCTATTAATAACTGCTCTGAAGGGGCCAATGGTGGTAGGCTTTCTGGTAAGTCCTGTGGCCAGAGGCATCACCGGCCTGGTCCAGGCTGGAGCTCATCCCTTCTGTCTTTGGACTCTAATAACAATTTGTCAATAAAGTGATTCTCAGATGAGGTCCTTATCTGAACTTCTCTCTGTCTCTGCTCAGGGAAGGCACAGGGCTTTGTATAGGATAGGGCTAGCATAAATAGCCCCCAATTTGGCCTGAAACATGTTGGGAGGGTTGTGCCCACTTGCTGGGCAAAGACCACAGCAGCTGTGAATTTGGTTGTTGCTTACTCCAGATTTCTGCAATGGACACTTGCTACATGTGCAAATGATCTGCAGAAGCCTCACTGAACACATAAATTCATCTGATCGTCGCAACAAAAGTGTTTGTACACAGTCTTGGTGGTATTTAATTACTGCCTGTTTGATCCCAGGGCTCCATTACCAAAGCGTCATCAGAAACACAAAGATTTATAAAAAAAGAACAATTTTGTACTTCTCCCCACAAATTTGTTGTTTCTGCCCACGGATTGCTCATGAACTTGCTGTGACGTTTATGTATTTGTTTGTGCTTTGTGTTGGCTGTTGCTCCCTTGGGTGGTCCTCTGGAAAGGGATGCATCTCCTAATGGCAACAAGTGAACTTGGTGGGGGAATGTACTTGCGGAGTCTTCATTGGTGTAACTTGGCATTGAGTCTGCTGGAGACCCAGTAACTCCCAGGAGTGGAAATCTGGCCCTTTTTTGCCTTTGGTGCTTGTAAATGTGCTGCTTCCCTGTAGAGATTTAGACAAGAGGAAAAATGCATGGACATTAGCAGAGAAGCAACTGGAAGGACAAAGAAGTGGCTTTAAGTGCAATGGTAGCCATAGCAAGTTATCTGTTTGCATCTGGAGCTAATTAAGACTGTCTCCCCAAAATCTTGTCTGTCTTTCCTTCAGCCCAAGCTCAGCTTCTCAATCAGAGGTGGCATGGCTTGGTTTTAACCACAGTGCTCCCCAGCACAGATTTCTACCTATCCATGGAAACAGACCAGAAGGGAAGAAAATAAATGAATTGTTGTCTTATGTTCATGTTTTAACCCCTTTCTTTTCCTTGGAAAGGTGTTTTGGTTAGCAGGATCCTTGTTAATCATTGGCCTGGCATCAGTGGTGAATACAACCATTGGCTGGCGGTGGCTGATCAGAATTGCTTCCATCCCTGGCATCCTTCTTATCCTGGTGTTCAAGGTAGGAAGAACTCCTCCACCTGCTCCCCACCCCACTGCCACCAACCTGTCGTCTCCCCAGGCGCCAAGAGGCATTGCCCTTCACACCCTGCAAGCCTGGGCCTGTTCTGGTGTCCTCTTTTCACCATCAAAGCCCTCTCACCACAGGACTTGGGGAAGTCCTAACGGCCTGGGGAGCCTGCAAACCAGCTTCTGGGAAGATGTCAGCCTGCAGGAGATGGCTTGGCTTTGCTTTGCTTTGCAAAGCTTCTGGCTTTCCTGCCCTGCTGGAGCCCTCCAGCACCCAGGCTCCAGTGTCCAGGCTACCAGTGGTACCCAGGGACCACAGTGATGAGGCATTAAGAAGAAGATGGGCTAGCCAGGGTATGCAAAAATTCACAAGTAATATCTTCAATCAAGTGCTACCCACAGCACATCTTTACATTTGCTAGGGCTAAGGAAGGAAACCTCAGTAAAATGTTCACAGAGCAAATGGGTGTCAGGGGCAACTGTGATTTCCCCAGGTTTACTCATGCTTCAGAAACGTCAGCCTCAGACGTAGGGACCACCTTATTTGTGGGGATTCATGTGGAAAGTCCCAACTCACTAAGCTGTGGCTGCTGCAAGCCGTGCAGATGTGAAAGCCCTTCCTGGAGCTGAACAAGCGTGCAAGTCCACCCGAGGTGCTCCCTGGGCACTCAGGTGCAAGGCTTCTGTGAACATCCACCCCTGTAACTTTGACATTTGGTTTCCCTGATTATTTTGCCAGAAACAAATGGGTAGCAAAAGTCTGAAGTTCAGAAGAAAAAAAGGCACAATCATCATACATACTTTTAAAAAAGGAGTCTTTAATTCATATTTTAGTGATACAGATGTAATTGCTTATAATTTAATAGAGCTATCATTTAATGAAAAGGTATTTTATTTTGAAAAGAGCAAGGTGTGGGTGAACATTGCAAATGCTAGTGATGAGTGAGTTTGTTCCTAAATATCATCCATGTCTTCCTTTTTTTAAACAGCCTTGTTGAGTCTTCCAAGACTTTTGCTTAAGTGACATGTGCCTCATGCCATTTCGGAATTTTAGAATATTAAGGGTTGTTTTAGTTAAACCTGTGTCTTTGGCTTCCATCTCTCACAAGTGTTTGCCACAGACAGCTCAGTAGCAGACCCTGGGCAGCTGGACCAAGACATGGGTTTGTTGGGAAGGGTGAGCCCCCCAGCATGGGGTATGGGGAGCTGGGACATGCAGGAGTGCCCCAGGGCATGGCTGGAGAGGAGGACAGGCAAAAATCTGCTCCAGCTCAGGGACTGTGCTAACCTGTCCAGGCTGCTGGGCATGACAGGAAGCTCTGAGGAGGGTTGCATGGACAGAGAGGTGCAGGAGGGTTTTCTGATGCCACTCTGCTTCCAGTTCATCCCAGAGTCAGCACGGTACCACATGTCCACGGGAAACATGGCAGCTGCCCTGTCCACGCTGCAGAGGATAGCCAAGATGAATGGGGCAACGATGCCCGAAGGGGTGCTGAGAGAGCCCACCAAGGTAAGCCAAGCCCCTGGCACTGCCTGAGCCCCCTGTCCTGGGCAAGGCTGCCAGCATCTGCAGTTTGGGGAGGGAGTGGGATGACTGGGACTGCCAAGCACATCTCACCCCGCCTCTCTTCCCTTCCTCACCTGATTCTTTTCCCAGCAACTGTTTGAACGGGATGATGAAGATGTTGTATTTCTTTTGGAGAGATAATAATCTTGGCCCTCAAAATGGAATTGAGCTTTCTGCTTTTTTTTTCCACATTCTTTTTGTTCACTTAGAAAAATATCATGCTGAGAGAAGTTTTGTTCCCTTTACTACAAAAAGGGCTGCTAGCAAAGTGCATTCTTCCTTATTGCCCATCCCAGAGGTGTCCCCTATGCCATGACACCTGAGACCTGCCTCTCAGAGTCCTTCTCAGAGCTGTGCCCAGGCAGGCTGCAAGGATGCATGCTATGGGGTCAACCCACTGCTCTCAGAGACTTCTCCCAGCCCCTGACTGGGCTCATCCTCAGGATCCCAGGTCCCTGAGCATGGAGGCATGGACCAGCAGTAGATGGTCAAAACAGGAAAGACCATTTCACTGCTACCACCATTTCCACTTCTAAACAACTGAACAACTCAGGAGTTGAACACTACTGAACTGAAATGCCCCAAAACATTTGTGGGTGTTGCAGGCAGGGCATAAGAACTGGGGGCTAGAGAGACCCCAGGCTGCTCCCCCTTACTGCCAGGCTGTGCCCTGATGACTGCAGGGTGGGAGGACTTATTCAGGTGCCTCCTTTGACCCCCGAGAGAGGACTATTGAATAAAACCATCGTGTCTGGGGCCTCAAAATTATTATCCAACTCTTTCAAGTCCTTTTCCTGGACCTCTTTGCTGCTTATTCAATCCCACAGGCACCAAGTATTGTCCTTAGCAATTAATGCAAGATGGTGCTATTGTATTGGAATTAGTTAGGATTAAAACTTCCCTGTAATTTAATTGAATTTATGTAATGGACCCGCCTTGGCTGTGGAAAGGGGTTTTGTTAGTTGTGAACCATCTCAGGCTTAACCAATGATGAGGAAAATATTAAAGGCAACCCAAGCCATCCCTGTGAACTCATCTCCCCTCAGTGGTGGGATGCTGGGGCAACTGCCAGTTCTTGACAGGGCAGGCAGAGCCCCCACTGCCTTCTTGTCTCTCTGCTCACTGCCGTTTCAGGTGTCCCAGCAAGATGTACATGACCACAAACTTGCTCCACAGGAAGAGCAGTGGGTGCTGGGCCCCTCTCCCCAGCACATGGGGCAACGGGAGCTGCCAGCAGCACCAGCAGTGCTGACTGCCAGCAGCAACCAGGTCCCCCTCCAGCACCCTGATGGTCTCACTGCTGAGAGCTGGAGGATCCTGCTGGGGCCAGGAAAGCTCAGGGTGTTCTCTTCTCCTCCCCTCCATCCTTTACAGTGCATCCTTCTGTGGGCATCCTTTGGGAAAAGAGTCTTTTCTCTCTGGAAGGCGGATGGGATGCTGTGCTACCCCTTCCGTCAGTCTGTCTGTACAGATCAGACGTCTGTACCATCAGCAGCCTGGGGTGGGGACAGGGGGCTCTGGGGTGCCAGCTGTTGCCACAGAACATTTACCTCTGTATGAAAGATACCTTTTAAAAACTATTACTACCAATGATTTGCAGGAAAGGAGAGGAAGATTCAAGGACCTTTTCCACCCCAAATACCTCAGAACCACTTTGCAAATATGGATCATATGGTAATTTTTTTTTTTTTTCTTATCAGCTCATTCTCTTTGTTGAACATGTGCAGAGAGCAGAAGGCTCCTGTTGACTTTGTCATTACAAGGCACCACGTCTGCCATAGAAGGTGGCTGCAGATCCTTGGCAGCTGGAGGGAGTGTATGTGGGCATGGGTCACCATAGGCTTGTCCTGATCTCCTACCACCCTTTGTCAGTTGGTGTTAGCATAGGCAGAAAAAGGCTGGACACACAGGATGGTGTAGGGCACCACGAGTCCTTCCTCAGGACAGGGTGGCTCAGGGGAACTGGAGAGGGAACCAGGTGAGAGCCATAGGAGAAAGCGAACACCAACCACGTACCCACGGCTCTGCTTCCCTGCTTGGTGTAAACTTGTTCTTCCAAAGATGAGGAGAAATGCACCACTTTTGCAGGCCAGCCAATATGTCAGGAAAATAGAGCACCAACAGAAACTCATTAACCCTTACCAGTGCCATTGGTTGGGGAAAATTAAGATTGAAGAGAGATGGGTTTCATATGTGATGTTCCCGGTAGCTGTGTGCAAGGGTAATACACGTTTCATTGATTTTGCTGTCTGGAATGGAAATGTATAAATAATGGGTCTGCGGGAATTCATTGACCCAAAATGTTGCTAAATCAGGACTTAAATTTTTTATGTGTTTTTGTTTTTTGTTTTGTTTTTTTTTTTTTCTTTTCCTCAACTTGTATGAGTTTTATGAAACATATATCTTTTTTTCCTAATTATTATTTTTTTAAATCCTCCTTTCTCTTCTAGTCCTCCCAGGAGTCACTGGTGTGTTCTCAACTTTGCATTCCCACCCACCCCCCATTCCCTGAGCATCCACAGCCTCCCCAGGCAGCTCATTTGCTAGCCCAGATTCTGCTGCTCATTTCTGAAACTGCTGGGGGGGCATAAAAAAATGAAAATTACTTCTTGACCTGCTTATGATTACGTGTGTGCTGAATGACTTGATAATGACACAGCCAGGCTGCCATCACTAATGCTATGTTCTTGACAGCCAGCCAGGGTGAGATGTGAGCCTCTCCAGCCAGTTAATGAATACTCCTTTCAAAAATCCCTGGGCTGAAATGATAAGGACTAAAAAGGACCTGGACAGTTTCTTCATGTGAGCTGCAATCACTGGGGCCTGGAGTTGAGACTCCCTGGTCCCCTGGGAAAGGGTGGTTTGGAAATGTGTCCACTTAAAGCCCGAGTCACAGCTAGGCTCGGGCTAAGAAGGTCCATCATGCAGAGCTGGTGTGCTCAGTAGGGCTCCCAGTGCTCCCAAAACTTGCTGCATTTTGGTGTCCTTCCCTTCCCCATGGTTACTCCTGCTCACTGTGGCATTTCCCTCGCCAGGCTTGGCATAGCTTTCGCTTATTACGGGGTCATCCTGGCCAGCACTGCGTTACTGGAGAGGGACCTTGTCTGTGGCTCTGCAGCACCACTGGAGCAGGACCCTGGCGATGACTCTGAGGAGCACCACAGCCCCTGCCACTGCCATTTGTTCGGGCCCGTTGCCTACCAGACCATGATCATCAGCACAGTCGGAGAGATCGCACGTAACCTCTTCTCCCCTCCTTGCTCTGCCATGCCCTTATTAGAGCCACACAATATTCACTGCAAAGCCCTTAGTTTTGCATGCATTCAGGCTCTTCAAATGAAGGTCTGGGACACAGGCCATGAGCTGGTGACAAGGGGCAAGGGAAGGCATTGCTCAGCAGGTGAATAATTCAGCTTCTGCTGACAGCACAGGTCCTTCCAACAGCAGAGCCAAAGACTTCCTTTGTAGTTAGCACATACCAACAGCCTTGGTTCAACTCCCGGAGAAACTGCACCTAACTTACCAGAACCGAGCCTGGCTTCCCAAATTCCCAGATATGGTTTTTGGAAAGTCACAAGTAAGGAAGGATTGCAAATAGTCAGACTGATCTAATTGAATGCACCACACAAGTGTCCCAGTTTCCAAGCGATGCTGGCCTCAGGAGCGGGTCCTGTGCCAAGCCGTATGCTACAGGACTGCTAAGTGCCCATGGAATCTGCAGCAAACCAAAATGCCTCCTGGTGCAGCCTTCCTGGCAGTGCCAGAGGATGGCAGGATGGCCCAAACGCATTCACATGGCATCCTTCAAAGAACTTGATGCTGTGTGTGGGTGTAGTATTGCTGTACTCCTGGGAGGTGAACAAATTCCCTGGTTCGTGTCTCAGCAACTGAGCTGACAAAGCAACTGGGTGTTGGATCATGCAGGTGCAGCCAGGGTGGGACCAGCCCAGTGGTGCAGTCTGGGCCCCAGTGTTGGGCTAGGCTGTGGCCAGAGGGAGCAAAACCACCCAGGCCTGTGGTGGTCACCCAGTGTCCTTGTATGGCTCAGGACAGGCACTGGTGTGGTGCCTTAGTACAGCAAGAGAATTTCATAGAATTATAGGGTTTGTGCATTTTATAGAGCCTTTGGTAGGTGTTAGGGACACAGAGAGATATTTTGAGGCCCACTGCATAATGTGTATCAAGACAGACAATCATTACAGTTAGGTCATATAATATTTTACGTTTTTCCTTTGTATCTCCAGTAAATCCCTTGAACGTTCTCAGCATCAACATCCTTGGAAGACGACAGAGCTTGTGTATCACCATGGGGTGTACAGCCCTGTTCTTTCTGCTCCTTAACATCTGCACCTCAAGGTACTCTGAATCAGCGAATGAGTCTTGCTGAGGGGCCGTGCCATGCTGGGGGCAGTGTACCACACTACCTGTGCTACTCTCAGGTCCCTAGTTGGTCAGGCCAGTTATTCTTGTACATCTGTAAAAAACTCCTCTGACTGGTTCCCTTCTCTTCCTGGGAAAGCTGCGGCAGGAGATGCTGTGGTGCAGCAGTGTGCAGAGGAGCTCACTTGTATTACAGAGCCCATGTGGCGTCCCCTAAACATGCACCAAGCTGCTTTCTGGCATTCTAGGAAATTAAAATTTATGTGAACCACATCCACCAGAAAGAAGTTATCTTTTTCATTCAATTTTTTCCCCTTTCTTTTTTGGCAAGGTGACATACATCTCTATCTTCTAGAGTTGGGCACTTCAGGGAGCTCAAGGCATCAAGAGAAAGGCTGTCATGGTCAGGCTGACTTGTGAGGATGTGGCTTCTTGCCAGCAGTGTACGCTCCTGCCTCCTGCCCCAGGCTGCTGAAATACTTGGGAAATGGAGTCATTAAACTAAATAAACCCCTGTCAGGAAGCTTACAGTGATCCAGTAAGGCTTCAGCCTCTGTACTGCTATTATTATATTCAGTTTTCCCTCAAACCAAGCCTGGCCATCATATTTGCTTGCAACAATTTTATACAGGAACCAAAAGTGAGGGCTAGGCTGGAAGTCAGACTTGACCATCATGTTGAAGGCACCAGTTGGGCCACTACGGTCCTGTCAGATCACTCCCTCCAGCCTCTAACAGCAGCCTAAAGGAGACCTAACATGCAATAGCCCATTGTCAAACATGCTTTGATAATGGACTAAAGAAAGATTACTCTTGTCAGCAGCCATCTTTTCCTTATGCTTTCACTTCTGTTAAGCTGGTAAAAGCTTTAGCAGAGCACTTATATTAGGCTGTGTCTCTGCTGATCACCGTTTAATGACACTTTGTTCCACATGGCTTTCTCTCTAGTGCAGGCATGACTGGGTTTCTCTTCATGCTGCGTGCCTTGGTTTCAGCAAACTTCAACACCATCTACATTTACACAGCAGAGGTGGGTCCTTCTATAGGTGCATTGAGCTGCTCTGGGGCATAAAAGCAAATTTACCTATACCCAGCAATGCTGCCATACTTCTTGGCTAGTTAAGGATCATCTTTCTTTTAAGTGTCCCTGGCTTCCTCGCCACAATTTTTGTATGCAAGGTAAGAGAAGAAATCAGGTAACTAGTTGATGACAAGAGCTGGTGGAAGGATGCTTTACTGAGCCACCTGTTGGTCACATGCTGCAAAACTTTATATTTGAGGATGTTGTGTAACACCATCTTCCAAAACTCACAATCCTTCCCCTCACTACAAAGTTAGAAAAGAGGATACTACTAAAAGGAATTTTTCCAGCAGTTAAGGGACTGATGTAGTCTTTGGGGTAGTATGTGAGGTTTTGTATATATATATATAATTTTTTTTTTCACTTAATGGAAATTGCTGTGTTCTCTCTGCAAATCATAGAATCCTTTAGGTTGGAAGAGACCTTTAAGATCATCAAGTCCAACCATTGAGCCATTAGGGCTCTAAAGTCCTCTGCTAAAACAGATCAGAATCTGTCAGGGCTGGAAGGGACCACAAGGGTCACCCAGTTCCAACCCCTCTGCCATGAGCGAGCCATGATTTCTGTGGGTTAAGTGTGTATAGTTGGAGTCTTTTGTTGTTCTATTTTTAAACAATTGTATGGAGTTAAATCTATCAGCTTACAGATTAAGTGAAGTGACAAGAAGCAAATAGAAGTAGCTCCCTGTGTTGGCCTGATACTTCTTTTAATAGTACATTATATTATTTAAGTATGCACCAAGCATGAAAATATATCAACATTTTAACAGCTCGTTGCTGCAATGGCCACATCATAAAGCAATACTACTCACAATTTAATCAATGATCAAAACCAAACTTGGAAATCCCCTTTCTGGGCACATGTCTGGACTCTTCTTGAATCCCTTACCTCCACTGGCTTGGCCCAGTAAAGTCTTTAAACAAAGGGTTCCACGAGTATACTTGCTAAAATCTATTGCTATTTGTGGCCCTTAATTAAAGTTAAGCAAGAACGTGCTTAAGTGTTTTATTAGCACAGGTGTTTGGGAAAGTGGAAAAGAAAATAAAGAAAGCACATTCTTCTAAGCCTGGAGGTTTCTTATTGGGATTTGTTTTTCTTTTTCCTCCTTCAAACCAAAAGTGTTGTTGATACAAATAGGCAATCTTGAAGGCTGCAGACAATATCCTTTCCTCCTGCTTTCCAGATACAGGACTGTCAGTATAAATTGAATTCTTCTTTTAGCACCCTGCTCAGCCTCTGTGACTTTGGTGTGAGTTGCTCAGCACAGCTGGTAGAAGGGTGAGGGGGGGGGTAGGGTGGGAGCAAACAGCAGAGGAATCACATCCAGCTTTGATTGACTTGCCTCAAAACTTCACCTGGGGCACAAAAATGGCAGATTTATAGTGGCACAAATGAGACCTGAAGGAACCTTTATTTCTTTTCATGTCCCACTAGCTGCTCTCGATAATGTAATGGGTGTCTGAAGAAAAAATAAAAAAAAAGAAAAAGGACACATATTACAGGTAGTTGTTGCACTAATCTGATTTCTCTCTGACCTGTTTTAGGTTTATCCCACGACAATGAGAGCCCTGGGGATGGGAACAAGTGGGTCATTGTGCCGTGTTGGAGCTATGGTGGCCCCATTTATATCACAGGTAAGAGCATGCTTGATAACATTGGTAAACATTGTGCCTGTCCTTGCTATCAAATATACAGAAAGACGCTCCTGAAGTTCACAGAAAAATAGATGTATTCAATTTTCCCCCCCCAGTTCATTAGTTCTTTATCTGATGTTTAAAAAGAGTACTTATGTGGTCTTTGCAAGATGCAGATCTGCAGAAATCTGTTCCCAGAGCTTAGCTTGCCAGTATTTTATACTTTCTGAAAGCTCTTAGATTGACAAGACCTTATTTTTCTTCTGTCAAAGTCTCCCTGGCATTTGTAACCTTTTGTCCACTTTTTAATTACTAACTAATCACCATCCCCGTCTCCACCACCCCACTGAGCTGATGTCTGAACTGTTCATTTACCTGCAGGTTCTTATGAGTGCTTCTTTCACGGGGGCCCTGTGCCTTTTCTCATCTGTGTGTGCTGTGTGTGCAATCTCTGCCTTCACGCTGCCCATTGAGACCAAGGGCAGGGCACTGCAGGTTTGTATTACTGCTCCAGGAGCTTCTGTCCATCCAGATGTTATTTAGAAACTAGATGGTTATGACTGAGCCAGAATCCAAACCAAACTCTCCTGAGGGCTTATAAGCCAGAATAAGGCCTGACAGGCAAGCACAGGAACTTGCAGTTGCAGCAGCTTAAAGCACTGTCACCCTGGTTGCCTAGAGCTCATTTCTCATGAACGATCAAACCAGGCCTGCCCTAAGCCCTGCTCCCTCCTGCCAGCATGTTAGATGCAGGTAGTGCAAGCCCTTCTTTGCCAGTATCTCCAGTCCTGACTGGAAGTGGCTGCCTCACAGGCATGTGTTCTGCTCTGCCTGTGCTGCAGGGAGAGAGGACATCACCTTAAACTGCTGAAGCCATTTCTTAGTCAAATTAAAATCAAAAGGCACAACTGCATCAGTCCATTAGCTAAGCCCTTGTGGCTAGTGCTTCCTACGAATCAATCAGCCAAAACACTAAGCACAAAGATTAAGGGGTAAAGTTTAAATGGGGCCAGCTTCACATGCACAGGTCACGCTGCTTGAACGACAGGAGGTGGTGAAGCAGTTGTGCAGCTCTAGTCGCTCTGAGGTACAGGGGCACGGACACGTTCCCTCCTGGATGCGGCCTGCCCACGTCACACTGCAGTGTACCTGTATAAACCAGAGCACCATGGGCTAAATAATCCACATCCTTTAGAAACCTACATACACAGAGAGCGCTTTGTTTGGTCACATCTTTTAAGGTTTCCCTAAGGTGCATGGAACAGTTAAGCTTAGGGTTTTTCAGAAAAGCAACCTATTGATCATTGCCTGCTTCCTTAAATGCTTGTCTTCTAGAAACGCTTGGGGTTTATGCTATTTTGCTATTTATGTTCCTATATTCTGTAAAAGACTGGAGAAAAAAATAACCAAAGTTTAAGTAAAGGAAGTGGAAAAAGCAACTTATTCTTCCCTTGTGGGTGAAATTCAATCCCATGCACAGAGGCCAGAGCCACTTAGGCCTTCAAACAGTTGGATTTACAGTAATACTAAGCAAAACACTTCATTAAAACTGCTTTAGACCTAAAAGGAAGGCTTTGATTCAGCTACAGTTGGATTAACTTTGGCTAACAGTGGTCGAGATAAATGGGAGTGTAATGATTCCTTAATGGAATCCCCCTTTTTCCTGGGGTTTAATAGCATTATTATCCTTCTTTCTACAAATACAAGTTAAAAGCTCCAGCTGCTGGCCTTTAAAAGCACAAGTCAAAGGGATGGGAAAATAAAAATCCACAAGTTATGCACTCAGAGAAGTCACCATGAAATCTTAAATTCAACTTGTTAACTGTTACATCTTGTGGTCATTTCAGAGACTACGTTTGTATACAGTTATTCAGGGATTGTTGAGTCATGACTGCTAAATGTATAGTTCAAGGGCCTCACACAGTACAGTCATCCAGTCCATACAAGAATTTAAATGCATGATGTAAAAAGTCTTTTCATGTAGCAATATTTATTCCTAAGGCTCCAGGAAATAGATGTGTTCCTTAAAATGACGTCTAAATGAACCACCAAAGTAAAAAAGTAATTTCTTATGAAATCCAGACAATGACATTTAAAAAGTGTGTCTACCCTTGTTTCAGTTTATTAGGATGGCATCAGTCTACTCGCACAGCAGTCATGGGGATTGCCTATTAGAGTTGAGACCTTTTGGACATATCCAAACAGATTTTATTTTCTCTGTATTCACGTCTGTTGGTTTTCATGTGCATTTTATTAATTTTATGTAATTCTTTTTCTTTCTCCTTTTTAGCAAGTAAAATGAAAGCAAGTCTTTGATGTTGGATTGAGTAGGAAAGAAAAATAAACCTTTGGAATCTGTCATTTCCTGTATGCTGCATTTGATGTTGATTGCTTCTCCATACCATTTCCCTTGTAAAAAGCTGCAACTGAACAGTGTAAGAGGTATGACTTCTATAGAAAAATTGCAGATTTCTCAGGGACATTCCCTTTCTTATGATTCAATAAAAAGATGCTTTCTACCTGTCCCATGAAGTGAGATGGAGACTCTTTACAACTAGCACTGTTAGTGCCACTCCACACTACTGATAAAAACAAAAGGGAAACCAGCCACTGTTCAGTGGATTGAGATGGGGAGAACACACAAAGTAGATATGGTCTTTGCCATACCAGCTTGAAAGAATACAGTACATCCCTTTAAAACCAAAATAGCATTCCTCTACTATTTCTGCAACGTATCATCCGCATTAAAGTAGTTAAATTTAACATCTCAAACCTCATTACAGTAGCAATTCCTTGAAGATTCTCATGCTGAGATTCAAGACTACAAAAATGAAAGCTTTGTCAGATTTTTACAGGAGGTTGCTTAAACAGAGACATTTTCAGTTTACAGCAAACAGACAAATAACTGGACTGCAGGCGTACAGCTATGCTCCTCTTCCCAGTATTTTGCACTGGGAGAACAACTTGAGTACAAAGCTGTGTAGGTGTCTTAACTTCACCTCTGAATGCACTAAGCCTCCTAATAAATCTGTGCTTGCAACTTAAGGACCAGGGAAAGACAAAGCACCTTCGCCTGGAAGCACTGTTAAACTTGGTGATAGGGTAATCCGGAACTTGTAGGCATTGCTATATCTTTAAGACTTCAGATGTTGCAATGGCAGTACCTCTTATTTCTTGAGTATGTGGTACCATGGTGTGCATTGATCCTACCTGGTTTGTTAGAATGGTCTCTCTCACCATCCAGTGCTCCTTTACCTCTCTTCCATTTTTTTTTTTCTGATACTCTGAGATGGTAAAACACTTAGTACAGGAAACTTTCTTCAGGTAATAAAATCTTTCCATAAAAAATCAAGCCAAACAAACCCTCCTAAACAAAAAAAAAAAAAAAGAAAAAAGAAAACAAAAGGGGAAAATAAATAGTTACTCTGGGCAGCTTAAGAATCACCACATGATCATGGCATTTCAAAACTATGTCAAATGCCTGCTGCAAATGTGTTTTTGAAGTGTCCACTACATTTAGGTGTGCAGTGCCACCCTACGAAAAAGGCAGGTGGGTAGTATTGCAGCTGGTGAGAGGCAAGAAAGGGCTTTTTTCTGAGTGCACATGTACACAGCAGGCAGGCACAAGCAGCACTTGTATCTAGTTTCTTCAAAGATCTATCTACAGCACCACATCAGTGCCACACATCAAGTCAAAATGAGTCTTGTGTACACTTGCATGTCTTCACAATTCCATCTGCAAAGTCCTGACACAAACAGAGCTCAACTAATTCAAAAGACTTCCTGGTCTCCCAAAAACCAAGTTTTCATTTAAGTTGACATAAAGGAAGGGTATAAACCAATAGCTGGAGCAACCATAGACAAGTACTTTTCTAACTCTGTAATCTCTGAGGGCAAAAACAACCATCTATAGTGTTGTCAGTGCTTCTGGAAAGTAGACAGAAGAAAAAAAAGGTAATTTGTCCTCGCCTTGTGGTGATTTTAACAGGGACAGATGAAGGGTTGAAGAGCAATGTCTTTCTTTTTTCTCTGCCTCCTCAAACGAGTGCTTCCAAGTGAATAACTATGCTGGTTGCGTTCTGACAACATATCTAGAAATCTGGAAACACAAGAGCTTGTGAGCAGAAAAGATGCTTTTTTTTTACCCCTTGCTAAACATGCACAAAGACTGACTGATAGCTGCAAGCAAACATTCTTTACCCTTAAGACTTTGCTGTCAACTCCATTAAGCAGAGGCACATCACACTTGAGACCTGTTAAACAAAGTAGTACAGGAATACCATTGTTTCTTGCTGGTGGTGAGGAAAATGGTGCAAAACAAGTTATTCTGTCCGTTACTTCCTCTGTTAAAAACTCTCAAATTCCTTTTTTTTTTTTTTTTAAAGTTATTTTTAATACACTCTCCCTTACATTTTAAAATCAGCAGTAACTTCTTTGGGGGCAACTACACTTTCATTGTACCAGTCAGTATTGCAGGACAATAATATTACACCATCTGTTTTCATGGCTTGTGTCAAATACAGTACAAAGAAATCAAATTATGGCCAGCCACATGCCTTTGGTAAAATTAAAGTCTGGTAAGATCACATTTTCTTCAAACACAGAAAGCCACATGTTGAATCCATGTAATGTTTTAAAGTTCAATTCTATACAAACTTTGTTTCTCCTTCAAAGTAAAGTTAAACAACTGCCACCCCACGCAAATGGAAATTTCTGTGCTGCTCCAGAAGTATAATGAAAGTTTGGAACTTCAGAGAAGCTCTCCACATGCCTTATTCTCCATTAGATTTGTGTATCAGACAAGGGGTAGAAAGTCTAGAAAATATCCACAAACCTACAAGTCAAAGCAGTCATTATTTTTCCTCTTTTCACAATTAACAGAGATAAATATTCGTAGTTTTTAAAAAGTGTTCCTTAGTAACACATGTGGCTCATTTAAGCAACTGACGGTCTTCTCCTTTGAGACGTTTTTTCCGGGGCTGTACAAAGTCATCATCGGAGTCATCAGTAAGTTCTAGATTATCTTTTTCACTCTGGCAGTTGGGCTGAACAGGGAACTTTCTCTCAGGATAAAGGTTCCTTAGAAGGTCTTCAAAGTACTCTTCAAGTTTCATGCCAGCATCAGCCACTTCTGAATCAGGCTGTTGGGGGAACCAACATCAATGCATCACAAAATAGCTTTAAGACTCAGCTCACATTAGGTCTTTTAGCTGCTCTTACAAATTACAATAAAAAAACCAATCTGCAGTAAGAATGGCACTTGTGGAACACATGGTCCCAAAGACCATAAGCCTGCAGAACAGGGAGCAAGGTTACACCTTTTGGCCACAATCCCAAATGACTTTTCTATGATGGATTATCACAGAAGCCAACTGCAAAAGCCATACTGCCTGGACTCTGAAAGCTACATAGAGAGATTCTAAAAATTCTTAAACCTTGACTGGAAAAAAAAAAAAAAGAAGTTGGTGTATGCTGTGAAATATATAGGTATGCCTTCAGGGTGTTAATGTGTTTTGGAACAACTGCATGAAATGCTCAAATTTCTCTAGCTTACAGACTTTTTTTAATTACAGTGCAATTATTATTAGGATACATGATTGTAACCTGGAAGACTAGAAAGTCCTAAAGTCATTCATAGACACCATGGCTGATTGGTCTCTTGAAGTGGCAGTCACCATGGCAGGAACTATTATCAACTATCAAGGGTGACTGGATGAGAACCCCACTGAGGCCACTTAGATAAGCCTCTATTCCCACTGTAATTCTCTCTCATTTTGTGGTCTAATTTATTCTTTGTGGTCTAAATTATTCTTTACCTGCTGTTCTGCCCTTCAACTAGCATGTTTATTAGAATCTTCCTCCCTTCTATGGAAGGATCTCCACTGCATTGTCATCTAACACCACAGTAGCTTCAAATGTGATCTACGCTTTCATTGCAGTCTCATCAATAAGATACAATAAAATCTTGTGTTGTAAGTTCATCCTCCACTACTCATTTTTCAGAAAGCAAGTAAGCCTGCAAATCCAGATAAAGCATTTACTCTTCTAACCTCATTAAATTCAGCACAGTTTTGGAAAATCAGTCTGAAATCAGCCACAAAATCTTCCGGCTTTGTGTAGAATGAATTGGTCACTTCGAGTCTTTTCTTGATGGTTGACAAGTCCATAGGCTTTTTGATTATTTTGTAGTAATCAGGAACCTAAATGGAGAATAACTTTTTTACCAAATGCAGTCACGTTCATTACATTGTTTTACAAACCTTTAGCTCTCATGGAGATGGCAAGATTTAGCCTCATCTTCAAAGTACAATTCTAAGACATAGGAATTGTTCTTTTAACACATATGCAGACAGTTTCTGGACACAGTGACATATGCTAATTTTGCTGGCTAAAATATACTCCTTCCAATGCCTATTTTAAAATAAAAGGAAAACAAATAAAAGCCCTACCTGCAATGACCGCATATGACGGAGAGATTATTTAGACATTAGTTTTGGTTGTATAGTCAAATAAACTACCTCTTAAGTTTCACTCTCAAGACCAACACATGACAACATTACAACCTGCTCAGAGACGGCACATAGGTTGCTCAAAATTAATTTTGGTCATGAAATATGCCCTTGGAAATGGTGAAAAATTTCAGACATAATGATTTTGACGTCTCAAACTGTGGTTGTAGGATTCATATTTATTCTTTCTGGAGAAAGAATTAAAAATTAGAAAGTAAGAGATGAAATCCAATGTTTTTATACTTTTTTCCCAACTAGATTCACATCTAAAAAGAAATGCTATAATACCTGAATTTAGTAATACATGATCATCATATGACTAATTGGCCAATCTCTTGTGCCCGCCCTTATTAGAAAAAAAAATTGTGTCTTAGAACAGTCTGTGGAATGTTCTTCAAAAGAAGTATTATTCAAATGGAATATAAAAGGTGTATAGGAGCGTATTACTTGATGAATTCTTTTCCCATTGAGATATCTTGAAGAACATAAAATAGGTACTTTTCATCTGATCATGTTGATAACTCTTCTGTGTATCCTTGCACTGCCAATGCATCCACACACTATTTACCATTTTAAACTAATAAATTTCAAGTTAATAATAAATCAAATTTCATATTTACTATGCAGTAATTCTCAAAATCAGGTAATTTTTAAAAAACCCAAGCACATTTCAATTCACCTTTTCAGTGATATCACTCAGCATTGTGAAACTAGCAGACAGTGTTAGAACTCACTTTTTCTGTCTATTTTTGAAGTATTAGGTAAAAGCTGTTCTCAGGGAATTTTACTGATA